GAGCTGCGGCCATGTTTTTTTTTCATTTCATTTGATTATTTCTATCATCGGTCACTTTTTCTTAACGTTCTTTATCGCCGCGAAACCATATGTGCGGCGAATTCATTTACGAAAATGGATGTTAAAACGGACGCGAACTCCTCATCTCAACCTTTCAGACCTCACTCGCCGACTTTAACGAGTTGTCGCTTCTTATACATTTACGTTCTTTGTATAAGAGAAAGACAACCCAAACCGGCCCTAAACCTACTAATGGCTAAAATCATCACAGTGTGGCAGCACTACGCAATTTTACCTCCCTTGTTTGGGCAGCACTGAAAATGCGAAAAATCGCACATTTCTTTGTCGGAATTTTCTTGTAATGTCGGATTTCTCGTCAAAGTGAAAATAAATTTTCGCTATTAGTGTGAGGTCTTTGTCTTAAAAATAATTAAAAGGCGTTGAAAATTAAGTCCGTCTTTTCCGAAGAAACAAAAAATATGCCTGCAGTTGTACGCATTAAACGCAGAATCGATGAAGAGCCTCTAAGTGCCTTCATATTGAACAGCAAAAAGCGACGCCGTTTAGATAATGTGGTTGAGGAAGAGCTACAAGCGGAAGAAGGCGCAGCTGCTGCAGGCGAAGGAAATGACAAAGATGGCGAAATTTCGACAATACTTAAATTTGCGGGCACGATACAGGAGCAGGTATGTAATAGGAATATCGTATGAAATTCAATTGATTTTACTACGAAAAGGTGATTGTAATCATACAATTTTAATTAATCTTTGGCTAACTATGTTTTTTTATTGTAATGGCATTTAAAATAAAATTTAGGATAACAGCGCGACCACACAATTAGCGCGTCTTACAAAAGAGGCTGCCAAAGAGCTTGTACTGCAGAAATCACTGCGAACACCAAGTAATCACACCGAACGCGCACGACAGGAAATGCGACAAGCTTTACATGAGAGTCGCTTTCGTGTAGTTAATTGCATGCGCACAACACTTGAAGACACAGATGCTACAGAAGCGGCTGCAAAGGAAGTGACAATTGTCGATATTGAAAAGCAGGAAACAAGCGGACGTACATCTACCACGGCGACATCAGCAGCTGGACAATTAGATTTGCACCAAAATACAGTGCAACAGCAGAGAGAAGCCGTAAATTCGGAAGCACAGCCAGAGTCGCAGGTATTAGCCAGCAATAATACGCAACAATCGACTGATTCCGACACTGGTTATGTGTACGACTTGTATTTGCCAGATAATGAATTACAAGTGGAGTATGCCGATATGATGGACGATAACTATCTAAGGTTGGTTTTGCATATCGAGCAGATATTGCTCACCAGTCGCTTCATTTAAATCAGCGCACATATTAACAAAAATATATAGATGAAGAACAAATCATGAATATGTATGCGCCGATTTGTGAAGGGTGTGGGCTAGTTTATACACATTATTATGTTTATATGATTGGAAATGTGTTTATATGTGTGCATTTCGATTAATGGATGATGGTAAAATTTCATAAAAACAACAGATTTACACAAATAGAAAGACGCATGCTAATAATTATTAAAACTCCATTATGGAAATTAAAAGAAGGAAAGAAAAAGTAATTAAGCGGTACTTGTGCTCATAAACTAAACATAATTATTCATTAAATGCGGTCTATTACATACATACATATTACTGCACTGAATATGTTAATAGTAATATTGTTGCAAATTGTTGTGTATTTATTAAGGTTGTACTATCCGTTCAATTACTACCACAACAATACTTGCTACCACTACTACTATTGGTAATTGAGAATTAACATAATGAGAAAAGTTCTAAATTAAGTGCAAATAATCCATTCGGCGATTATACCCAATATGCAGACAGCGAAGGACATTGAAGGTAGATGATGCAGCAATGTAGCAAAATAATTATTATAAGCAACAAAGTAGATAAATGCAGAAAGCGCCGCAGACAAGCAGCATTGCCACTTGGAACGCCGGCAAATCACCCACAAATGCCAATCGTAGCAAAACGAAGCGCAAAAAAATGGAATCATACATAATATTCAAATACTATCACAATTAGTAATGTTTGTAATTTGAGCATAACATACGCGAAAAAGCTTGCCAAAAAATAAATAAAAATATTTGCGAAACAACACGTGAACGTTCCCCGCAAATTCTTTAGTTGACTTCTTGAGGTTTTGTAAACCAATATTTAAGTATAGGCANACGCGAAAAAGCTTGCCAAAAAATAAATAAAAATATTTGCGAAACAACACATGAACGTTCCCCGCAAATTCTTTAGTTTACTTCTTGAGGTTTTGTAAACCAATATTTAAGTATAGGCGCTTCGGGGAATACCGCTGGTTTCCGTTGATATCAAAATTGGCAAATTTAATTATCATTATCCAATCAACTAAAATTCTGCTTGTATAAACGTTTACTTGATTTTCATGCAACATCAATGCATATATTGTTTTCTCTGTCACACACTATAGCAGCGGAATTGATTTGCTAAGTACTTTAATTTTATATTTTTTATACGTATTGCGTTTTTTTATTAATAAATTATGTTAGCTCAGGCATAAGACATAAGAAAACGTAAAGCGCACACCCGCAGCGTGCAGGCTGAAATAATATCAACACAAATTTTTGTTTTAAGTTCTTATGCTAAGTATTATTTTTATATGCCTTAAAACCAAATAATTTTAAGCCTTGTTAAGTGTATACATATGTATGTACTCATGTAATTGTAGTTAAGTCGTTGTTTATTTGTACGTTGTGGGTAACTGAAAATAAATACTTGGTTTTCAACAACCAAAGTCGCTTGGAATATGGAAGTAAGAAATGCAAAATTAAAAACGAAAAAAAGCTTAAAAGTCATAAATAAAATATTAAATTTTAATAAACTAATTTAAAACGACTAAGTTTAAGTTGATTTATATTCAAATCTATGCAAAACGCAAACTTAAAATCTAAATATTAGCATAAAAAGGCTAGGAACTTAAGCATAAAATCGATTAATTTTTGCATAAATTGCGTTTTTAGTTTTTAAGTAAAACTATGAAATATACCTAAACATATATTATATATGAGATGAACAAAAAACAAGTTTGTTTTATTCATTGTTACAAATTTCGGCAAGGGAATATGTCGTGACTTTTTTGGTTGTGCCAAGTTTTTATTTTCATTTACTGTAGAGAAATTATTTTGTTTAAACTTGCTGTACAAAAGCGTGTGTTGTCTTTAGCGACTAGTGTCACATAAAGCAGGGCTCAGCGCACAAATATGCCGAGCATGCATAAATAGGCCACAAAACACGCTCATCATTTCGGTATGCGGAGTTTAAGGTGCCCTCTATGCATCAATATGGCTTTAGAAAAATCGCAGAATTTAACGTCATAATCACTCAGGCTTTTAACGAAACTGTCCCTGTAAGACAAGAGTTCTAGGCGCGTTGGACTTGCCGAAAGTATTCGACCCTGTTTGTCATTCTACGTTACTAGAGGACATTGAAATATCTTCACTTAACGCTCATATAATAAAACGTAGCAAACGAATTATTTGACTAGCCAACAACCGTCAATACTCGCTCAAAATCGAATCTCGATGTCAAGAAGAATTAAACAGAAGGGCCCATGTGGGCCCATTCCACAGAGAGAGATTCACTGACCTCCCTACTCTGATGATTGCTCGATATTAACGCTTGGCAATGGCATTGGTGACTTGTGTTTGAAAGTAAACAACTTTCTCTCAGGCGATTAGCTGGCCGGTTCTAAATTATGCTGCACCATTTCGATCACCAGGGGCTAGTTGGAAGCAGTTGGGTCTACGTAACCGGAACAACCTAAATTTATATCTGTGCAAGGACTGTCACTTCAGCAACACTCGCCAAAAGCTCTAACCCAATAAGCAGGAATACTTTTAGTATTTTTTCTAAATTTTGAATAAATTGGCATCTTAAACCATGATAAACATATAGTAAGGTAGAACCGCTGAGAGGCACTTTTAAAATTCTTGACGTTTCCAAACAATTTAATTTTTAAATTTACTCACAAACTCACACACACAATTTCATTTTCAATCTCAAGCAACAACAATTTCGAACAATTTAAATTTTTTATTTTCACTTTTATATGATTTTAAAATGTTGGCAAACTTCAAAAAAAAATCATGGCCGACAAATTGAGAGAACGGTTATACCTTGCTGTGTTTTTATCATGTCTTAAACTACAGTTGAGGTCAGCTAAAAGATTATATTTGGATTAGAACCAAACTATTTGGTGTTTGCAGAAAAAGGTGGTTCTCTCAAATGGCTACAGATATGAAAAAAAAAGCATTTGATCTTTAAAAATTCATTTATTTCCCCGTTTCTTTTCAACTTCTAGTATTCGTCCTTGCGATGGCCTTGTCTATGAGGATCATTTTAATGATGATGATGAGGAAGGGGATTCTGAAGATTCGAATAATGAAAATTACTATACAAATGATTATCCCGATGAAGACGATGACAATGAAGATTATAAGGATTCTTATGATCATGATGACATTGATGCCATGGCACTGGGTATTAGGCGTATGCGAGTTGGTAAGTGGAAGTGAAGCGAGAAAAATTTTATACATTTTTCGAAACTTTCGAGACTTTTCAGTTAAATAGAATACTTTTAAAATTTAGCGAGGCTATTTGACTTGTTGGAATTAGAAAATTGCAATATTTTTCAGTCTTGTTTACCTCAATTGAGGCCATGAGAGCAGAAGTGGCTTAACCCAAAATTTATTTTTTTTTATTTTCCTACTGAAAATAGTCTCAAATTTGGTTAATTTTAAAATAAAAGTCGCTTATTCCTTAATTTGATGGTACGCTANCCAATAAGCAGGAATACTTTTAGTATTTTTTCTAAATTTTGAATAAATTGGCATCTTAAACTTCAGTTGAGGTCAGCTAAAAGATTATATTTGGATTAGAACCAAACTATTTGGTNTGGCCGACAAATTGAGAGAACGGTTATACCTTGCTGTGTTTTTATCATGTCTTAAACTACAGTTGAGGTCAGCTAAAAGATTATATTTGGATTAGAACCAAACTATTTGGTGTTTGCAGAAAAAGGTGGTTCTCTCAAATGGCTACAGATATGAAAAAAAAACCATTTGATCTTTAAAAATTCATTTATTTCCCCGTTTCTTTTCAACTTCTAGTATTCGTCCTTGCGATGGCCTTGTCTATGAGGATCATTTTAATGATGATGATGAGGAAGGGGATTCTGAAGATTCGAATAATGAAAATTACTATACAAATGATTATCCCGATGAAGACGATGACAATGAAGATTATAAGGATTCTTATGATCATGATGACATTGATGCCATGGCACTGGGTATTAGGCGTATGCGAGTTGGTAAGTGGAAGTGAAGCGAGAAAAATTTTATACATTTTTCGAAACTTTCGAGACTTTTCAGTTAAATAGAATACTTTTAAAATTTAGCGAGGCTATTTGACTTGTTGGAATTAGAAAATTGCAATATTTTTCAGTCTTGTTTACCTCAATTGAGGCCATGAGAGCAGAAGTGGCTTAACCCAAAATTTATTTTTTTTTATTTTCCTACTGAAAATAGTCTCAAATTTGGTTAATTTTAAAATAAAAGTCGCTTATTCCTTAATTTGATGGTACGCTATGTGGCCCTGTACATTAAAATTGAGGAAAAAGCGTTATTTATTTAAAAAATTATCACATTTGATACTATTTTAAGTAGGTAAGTCCAAGATGAATTTTTGAGTTAGGCCACTTCTGCTCTCACGGCCTCAATTTATGTTACATTAATTTTTAATTTTTTTTTTGTTAAAATCAAAACATTTAAATTAAACTTTCATTGAAGAGTCTGTGTATTTTGAAAAGTTGTTCAATTACTGTTGCATTTTATTTGCATTTTAATTCTCTGCATCTTTTAAGGCACTGATCACGATTACATACANCATTTGATCTTTAAAAATTCATTTATTTCCCCGTTTCTTTTCAACTTCTAGTATTCGTCCTTGCGATGGCCTTGTCTATGAGGATCATTTTAATGATGATGATGAGGAAGGGGATTCTGAAGATTCGAATAATGAAAATTACTATACAAATGATTATCCCGATGAAGACGATGACAATGAAGATTATAAGGATTCTTATGATCATGATGACATTGATGCCATGGCACTGGGTATTAGGCGTATGCGAGTTGGTAAGTGGAAGTGGAGCGAGAAAAATTTTATACATTTTTCGAAACTTTCGAGACTTTTCAGTTAAATAGAATACTTTTAAAATTTAGCGAGGCTATTTGACTTGTTGGAATTAGAAAATTGCAATATTTTTTCAGTCTTGTTTACCTCAATTGAGGCCATGAGAGCAGAAGTGGCTTAACCCAAAATTTATTTATTTATTTTTTTCCTACTGAAAATAGTCTCAAATTTGGTTAATTTTAAAATAAAAGTCGCTTATTCCTTAATTTGATGGTACGCTATGTGGCCCTGTACATTAAAATTGAGGAAAAAGCGTTATTTATTTAAAAATTTATCACATTTGATACTATTTTAAGTAGGTAAGTCCAAGATAAATTTTTTGAGTTAGGCCACTTCTGCTCTCACGGCCTCAATTTATGTTACATAAATTTTTAATTTTTTTTTGTTAAAATCAAAACATTTAAATTAAACTTTCATTGAAGAGTCTGTGTATTTTGAAAAGTTGTTTTCAATTACTGTTGCATTTTATTTGCATTTTAATTCTCTGCATCTTTTAAGGCACTGATCACGATTACATACATACCTTCGATGGTGACGATACCAGTATGTCCGAATTTGAAGAATCCTCTGATGATGTTTACTATGATGATGTAGACTACATTTATGGCCAAAGTCATGTGCGAGTGCATGGCATTGGCGATGTTGATAGTGATGGTGATGACACCGATGATGTGGACTATTATGATGCTGGCGGTAATAGCGATGATTCAGATGCCTAAATCTACTATACGGTTTTCCGCTTATTCGTATTGAGTCTTCTTTATTTAACTATTTAATTTAACCTTTCTGAATATTTAAATTGTATTTGTATTGTCATTTCCACACAAACTTAAAATATTCTCCAATAAGACTTGATAATATTGAATATACATACCTAAATAAGCATAAATGAACTAAAATAATAATAGCTGTTGTACTTGTATCGGATCGAATGAGCTATTGACGCCAGTCATTGAAAATTGCTGTTGCTAAAACTAACTAATAGTTTCTTGGTTCTATTCTAAGACAGGAGATGTGCTGTTAACACTGGCTAGTAGAAAACTTTACTTCCATTAACAAAGTAGTTTTTTTGTAAGGACCTTCTATATTTTAACTTTGCTTCGTTTAAATTTGTGTTGTGTAAATAAATACCGCCAAAATAAAACTTCAAATTGCAAGCTTCATTTCCGTCTAATCAGTAAAGTAACCGGTTCGCTTAATCGCATGCAGGCATAATACAAAAGCACCCCAACAACACTACATATGTACATTAGTATCAGGGAAGCCAACTCGTGGGGAATTCCCCGATTTGAGGGGAATTTCAGTTTGCCTGGGTAGTCGGGGAATGAACCTTTTTTTGCGGGGAATTTCAGTTAGTTCAATTCTAGTACAACAAACTTTCAAATGGCTAAAAATTGTCGTTGCTTTCTTAGAAATTTCTTTATCGCATTTGCTTTCATATAACTAATAAACACAATTTATTTTTATATGGAAGCAAACCGCAACAACTTCAGCAAAAATATTCTAAAACAAAAATTTTTGCCCCTAGAAAATTGCACTAGAATTGAGTGAGTTACAAAACTGCATACTCAAAACCCATGATTCAATACAAGGCGAATTAATATAAGGTGATAGCAGGAGTACAAAAACAAAAATTTACATGTATTTTGTTTTTGCTTTGGCGGCATAAACTGTCAAAATCTGTAAGAGTGTGTGTAGAAATTCAAACAAAATTTTTCAATTTGATATCAGAAGCCGTGCGGCGAAACACATACACAAAATCAGCTGAGCTGGTAACACCACCTTATATAAATTCGCCTTGATTCAATACAAGGTTGGATCCAAGGCGAATTTATATAAGGTGGTGTTACTAGCTCAGCTGATTTTGTGTATGTGTTTCGCCGCACGGCTTCTGATATCAAATTGAAAAATTTTGTTTGAATTTCTACACACCTCTTACAGATTTTGACAGTTTATGCCGCCAAAGCAAAAACAAAATACATGTAAATTTTGTTTTTGTACTTCTGCTATCACCTTATATTAATTCGCCTTGGTTGGATCATGGTGAAATGAACTGAAGGTGGCGCATTCCCAAAACCGCTACTTTGGTTTTGTCGACTTTGACATTAAACTATGTTCACATATCAATATTATATCAATCAAAGCTCGTTTCTTAATCACCCCGTTTACACAGGCAAATCTCAGATTATTAGCCGTCAAATTTGTTGTGCTTGTTATTTTCACATTTCAAGGAAAAGTTATGTTTCTTCTCTGTGCCACCGTGATCACGTTTTTCTGCTATAATAAGCAATATAAATATATTTTAACTTAACATTTTATTAAAAACACCTTTACAAACCTCTTTTACTTGCTAGCGTACATTTTTGTTTACTTTTACATTTGGCATTTCTCCTCTCTTTCGCAAAAAACAATCGATAAAACTAGGATGGACACCGAAAAGTTATCGGTTAAATCTGAGATTATTTTATAATTACAGATTAACAAGGGACGAATTTTATATGGCTAATCTCTTGTTATAATTACAGATTAGGGTGTTAAGCTCGAAAATGAGGAT